TCTTCTTCTTCAAATACTTAATTATTTACAAAAATGTATTATTAATTTATTACCATTTAATGAGATACGAATAAGTAATTATTACAATGGAAATTTTAAACTAGAGTACGCAATTCCAGAATTACACGCTTCAGAAATATTTCAACAGAAGTTTCAGATTCTGTGTTGTTCGTCACCAACTGAAATTTCCTCCTCTTTATACGAAACATTTTATGAAATTAATTTATTTCTGTTTTATTATACAATTTCTTTTTCATGCCACCATGTAACTTATTGATTTCATTACCACATTTTTCATACCATAACTTTCAATTTTTTCCATCAAAATTTATACGCACCTTTCTATTTCACAACTTACTAATCAAGTTTATTTGTGCAGTGTATCGCAATTTTTTGTGTTTCCAAAGATTTATTTCTAAATTTAATAATATTGGTGCTTCAATCCAAGAAAAAAAGGGAATTTGAAAAACTAGTATCATCATGTATGGAAAAAAATTAAACTCTTGATTGAAAGGTATTCAGTGGAGTATTTCATTAGCAGAAACCCACAGCACTAAGGTTTTTGTCTGCTGTTAGAGAACATTCGCCAAAGAATATATACTGATCTTCTAGTTTGAGGTCCAAGAATCCAGGAATTTTCTTTAAAGAGGAATGTCCGCTGATTGTAGGAGATTTGTTAACAGAAGTTCCAATGTGATTACGTGCATCACATTTAAGGCCATTCTTCATAAGTTTCAACTCAAGATGGCGAATAAAAAATTTCTAATTCTGATTTGCTAGTGAACTACTGAGCTGTCTGCTGGTGACTAATAATGTAAAAATAACGATGGCTTTTGCTTTTCAGTTTCCTCTCCTTCAAGCATGGGAAGAAAATGACAGACTTCTGATTTAAAGTTTCTCTGAATCAATAGCAGTGTAAACATAATTCTACTACTTTTTATCTTCATTTGTGTAGATATTCCCGTTCTGACAGTATTCGTTACAATTTGAATGATTGAGAAAAACGAACAACCTACAATGTCTCTACAGAGATTATTAGTGCATGATATAAGACAATTTTGTTCTAACCATCCTCCTCTCTCTGGAAAAAAGAGAGGGATTTGAAAATTTTTGGTTTCTTATACAAAATCTCGAAGAGTTCAGCATTAAAGTCTAAACCAAATTAGAAATATAAAATTTATAACCTTTTAACCCCTTCGAGCCGGGTAGCGAAAACGCGCGCTTATCGCTGAGGCCGGCAGTATCTTACGCGAGCGTCTCTCCAGGCCGGGGGCTTTTTTGCTACTAAGCCTAAATCCATGAAATTTCCGAAGTATCAACGCATTGTTTAATAATGCTCTATAGAGTATTTAAACGGCTTATGCTTTATAAATATTTATATATATATATACTTTAATTACCTTATTTCTTTTTAAATGCATATTTTACACATTTTATTTTAATTACTCACCATTTTATGAATTTTTTTAACATTATACATCTGAAACTAAATATTTACTTAAAATTCTCTTTTCGTATGAAAATTTTGAAAACAGGGATCTACACACAGTCCTACGTTACATTCCTTGCACTCGTAATAACTCATTTGCCGTTTTGGAGGATTTTTCCGGGAATGTGAACAAACGAAGCATCGTCGTCTCATTTTCTTATCAGTCTCTTCTGAAAAAAGTTTGGAAAATGTCTTTCTGTTAATCTTTCAGAATCAATATCAGAAAATCAGAATTTCAGAATCAATATCTGAAATATTTTGCATCATTTCTGCTATTTCATGCTCTGTTAAACATTTTCGACGCTTCGACATTGCAACGGTAAAAACAAAGAATTCACGTCTAACAAGATCTAATTATTTTCTAAAAACTGAACTGCAAACCGAAATACCCAACGCTTTAGAGCAAATAAAACTTCTCTACTTACAGTAAACAACTACCACGTGCGAATAAAGTGCGATTTAAAGAGACGTCGTAAATCACGCCATTCGGAAACATTTATTTCCCCGTTTTTTTATATAATCAAAAACACGTGTATGTGAGTCATGCTTCTCTCATTTCGAGTAGAAGGTCTAATTTACATGTATCTGAAACCATATGGACATACAGTGCCATCTTGTGGCAGAAATTATAGTTTGAAAAACGTTCCAAAGTACTGGCACAAATACGTGACAGTCGGTAAAGAACGCAACAATCCTCTGGCACGCCTGCGTGTCGGCCGGTAGATAAGTGTGTTCGTTGCTGGCACGTATACGTGACAGTCGGCGCGAAGGGGTTAAATAATTTTAATTACGCAATATTTAAATGATTATGATGTTAATATTTCATAAACTTGTGTTTAAACTTTGTAAATCAGTTTCAGATTAATGCTTAAACCAATTTTTAGCCACACAATTACGATTGTCCTACTAATTTAAAAGTTAATCTTCGAGAAATTCAAGATACAGAACATAAAATCGAATATATCGAACCAGCTGTTAAAGGTAGCAGTGGCAACGAAGGGAGAAAATTACTGTGATATTATTTCATCGTAAATTAAGGCTAGATGAAGATAAAATAATAAATCATGCTGTTAACTGTGTTTTTATTTCATTGAAGTACTTGAGGACAAGCAATAAGTGTTTCGTTCAGTTGCAATCGGATTGGTGTTAAGTTTAAAATACATCGCTGCTTGAGAACAAGATCGTTACAACTAAAAAAACCTGAGCGTTGGAAAACGATTTGAAAGGTTTCACTGACAGTATCTCTTTATTGAAAATATGAGTGATAGAATATATTGCGCTTTGGAGGTCGAGTGTGTGTTATCACTATGTATCACTGGATTCACTGTGTATTGCCATGTTTATTATGTAATCATCGCTTTGCCTTGAATTCCTATTTTTTAATTGCACTTTGTTTAAATACTAGCAAAGTGACGCAATCCACTCCTCTATTTTTAGGTAAGTGCATAGCTGTATACACAGTCATTCGTTTTATGTAACTTAATTTCTGTTTATTTCATTTATTCATGCATTTATTTCTTTAATTATGCGGTATTTATTCATCCTCCCATTTGACCATTAATTGTTAGAAATTTGTTGCAATCTCTTTCAGTCTCCTACTCTACCTTCGACAGTTGGAGTATATATGTATAGAGCAAAGACTGTTTGTTCTATGCATCCTAGACATTGTGTTACAGATAATTACCACAATGAGGCTTTTCGACCTATATGCTAACTCAACTGGATCGGCCGTCCTTCTGCTGACGAAAAGAAACAAAGTGAAACCTCGGATCACGAATACCTTATTTACGTTCTTCTTCAACAATTTGATTCACGAACAAACTATCCCAACAAATAACATTTGGAATCAAGACCGATGATGACTCGAGTTAAGAGCACACAAATCTCCGATATTTGATTTTCAGATATATTTTGAGGTAACTAATGAGATACAGACACTTATACAGATATGAGTGCCACTTAGAGGAAATTATATAAAAAAAAAAAAAAAAAAGTAGAAAGAAAGAAAGAATTGCAGCGGCTTCAGAAGCAACAGAGAAAGGCGATTAATGATGAAATATCTTCAGAAGAAGTGAGTGAAAGGAAGAAAAATTATCCCAATATTCAAAATTTATGCAAAATGGGATAAGACGCAGGTTTCGCGTAACGACATTATCCTTTTAAAGCGGCAGAAAACTACATCATAAGCAATTTTAATGAAATGTCGTCTCACTATAGAAACATTATAAAAAACAAGCAAAAACAAATTATCTTGGACAAATTTTTTGACTGAAATAGACGTCCAGTGACATCTCAAGCTGTCGAGTAACTTTTACATACAAAAAATAGGGTAAAAAAAGTGCCTCCTGATATGTTCATGAAAAAGAATTTCGAAATAAAAAAAAATATATCATCTTAATCATCATTTTCCATTTAGATTTTCCACTCGCCTTCATACAAGTAATGCAAAATTAAATTAAATTTTAGTCATTTTTATCTGTTTAACATTGCATTTTTCATTTTTGTTTTATAGTTAAAGATATTTATTTTTGTATATGCTCATTTTTTTCAGTTATAATTTGGGATTATGAACTTGTGCACAAAATGCAAACATACTTGTGCACAAAGTCAAAATAAACCATTATCTGTGATCTAGAAACGAATTAATCCATTTTAGATTAATTCCTACGTGGAAAATTATGTCGGTTTACCAACATATCGGTTGATGAACAACCATTAGGGACGAATTAAGTTCGTGAACGTAGATATCACTGTACTTGCTTTACTAAATGTTCTATTCTATCAGTAAAAATGTATTGCTAAATCTTTTGTTATTGTTAATGATATTTGTTGAAAGTAAAAGCTCAGCATGAATTAGTAAATGAAGTTTCAAAAAATTATCACATGCTTTTGTCCGTGGTTTTATGGTTAGTCCATGTCCAGATAACGAGTGAGAAATTCATGACTTCTTATGGCGAAAGCAATTGATTCTTTATATCTTCTTCTGTGAAAGTCTTGATGGTGCAAGAGGGTAAGATTACCACATGAATTTTATTGACTAAGTCTCGTGCCTTTCCCCAGTCGCACTTTATGTGAGAAAGGATGTAAAGAACTGAGCGTATTGTTATAATGTTCATAACATCCAGTTAATAAGTGGAAGATCTTTGCTCTGAATGGTGACAGCACTTTTGATTTCCACGTTTGCTGGTCTGAAAAGCCTAAAAGTCTCAATAAAGTGCTGAAAACATTTATAAAATAAAATGTTATATTGTTGTCATTATTAAAGCACATGTTGAAGGTTTAAGTTTTAATAGCAGATAACTTAATTTGAAGCTAAAACTACGCTCTGGAATTGATGTCATTCAGTAAATTTTATAACAGTTTACAAAATATTTCCGAACAATATTAAACACAATCACCAAAAAATCATCAAAATAAGAATAAAAAAAATTTTTGACTAGCGAATTAAATGATACACGTTTCCAGAATGTGGTGCATAACGAGACGTTCTATAGAGAAAAAAGACCCTTACCTGTATAGATTAATTTCTTCCACAAGACACTTGGTGCAGGAAATCCCACAGCTGCGCAATCCATCCATACAGTATTCCCAAGAACGACGGTCGCATTTTTCGGTTCAACGGTCCACTGGGGAGGAACTGAAAATAAGATAAATATTATCACCTTCACTATCAAACGCAAGCTGGTGCTTCATACAAGGCGTTAGCTTTATATTGATTTTGTTCAAATTTAGCTTCTTCTCCTGTCATGCACAGTAGACTTTCTAAAAGAAGACAGAATTTCTAATGCATAGGTTAGTGCAACTTTTTCTCTCCTTAGCGTACAAAATAGGCTTTTTTTTTTCCTTCTTGGACTTTCCTAACACATCAATCATACACGGTGAGTGGCTTCAGCGATCAATTAACTTTTAACGCTGCAGCACGATGCTTAAACGAAATGCTGAAGTTTTACCTGGAGATGCACATGTTTGGTTAAAGTCTGGCTTAATGATCTTAAAAATTACTTTCAGACATGTGGTGTCATAAAAAGCTGAGTATTTAATCGGCTGGAAATTTTACAAATTTTAATTTATTATTTCTTATGTTTTCTAAACAGCATCTGCGTGTTGAAGACATATACAGCCAAAGAAGTACGGAGAATATTTTGTATACAAAACTATAAATCACTTTGGATACATAATTATTAATGCCTTAAAGTTTAAATTTAAATACATAAGTCATTATATGCAATTTTGTCCCGCGCTATTCCTTTCATGAATGAAACTAAACAGCTAAGTGACGATATAATATTGAAAAGATTAAACCCAAATAATTCCTTGCATACAAATCCCAACATATTTTCGAATCTTTCGCTCTCGGAACATTCAAATAAGAAGAAATAAACATTCACTTAATAACGAAAAAAAAATTAAATAAATAAAAATGTGAAATCAGCTTTTAAAGAAAAACAATTTAAAAATGCACTTTTTACAAAACACACCTATATTAATTAAGAACAGACATGTGAAATTTAGTAAATAAAACATAATTAGAAATCTTGAAATTTTAGTTTAATTTTCTTAGTATTCTCTGATTAAAGTATTCGATTAACAGCTCAGATTCACCAGGTGCGCTTGGGTAATTCCATTGGTAGACAAATGAGCTCATGAAAGGAAAGCAGTATGCCGTGTTCTTGAGTTACTTAAAACATCGAGGATCTATAGTAATAAGTTATCAAAGTCTAGAATATAGAGATGATTCGAATTTTTTCATGCAATTTCAACGCAATAATTACTTAATAATTATGAATTTACGACATAATATACAGATACAGTGTGACAGCATACAGGTGCAGTCACTACAAGTTGAAAGAGGGGCTGTAGATACTTCCGATACTGCAATTATCGCTTTTTTTTCTACTAATGAACACTTCCTTCCAAAATTCATAAAACTAATCTTTCAACGTTTTCATTAAAGCATTTAACGATTTTTTACTGCCATGTGGGATCCTTCTTTGTTTGATTTTTTGCCTGACGTCACTAAGCACGGTTAGAATAAAGGACTCTCTATTCCTAAACGGATTTCAGAACGTACTCAAAATATTCAAATTGGATTAAAATGGAATTTTTTTCACGATGTCTGTACGTACGTAGGTACATATGCATCTTGCATAATTAAAAAATGATGAGCCGTAGAAATTTTATATTTGATACTTATATATGCTGTAACATCTAGTTGGGCCACGCCCTTTTTATGCAATTGACAGTACCAAAATTGCATATATTATATATATATATATAATGACAAAAAGTAAGAACTTTAGAGCCAAATTTACACGAAGACCAAAAAGAAGTGAAATTCAATACCAACAAATTTCAAAATATCCTAAAATACGCAAATTAAGAATTAAAGAAATGTGAAACTAAAACCTAAAAATTATAAAAACCAGAAAAAATACCAAAACCAGAAAAAGCAAACAAAGAGCAATGCAGTCAAATCTGATATAATGTTATCAAGAGAAGGATACATGACTCAATTACAATTCCCTTTCCTAGGGCAGCAAATCAGGACCGGAAATGTTTGTACGTATACTTGTATGTATGGATGTATGTGTTCATGTATGCATGTAGATATGTAGACACGTATGTATGTGTATGTATACACACACATATACATAAACACGTGCATACATGTATGCATTTCTGAATCAGGTCTCGATAACAGAAGAGCACTTCTCTTCCACTTGAAGACCACTGCTTTTCTGTATCCAAAATTAGCTGGTGAACTATTCAAGTATTTAAATATAAAAGTTAATCTGAAAATTTTGGATATTTAAATATAAGAGTTAATTTGAAAATTCCATTTTATGTATTTAAAACTTTCTACGCTATTATAAAAAGCTGATTAGATTTCGGGTAAAGATGGGTAAACAGAAGTGGTACTACACTTGAAGCCAATGAAGACTTGTTTACACTAGCGGCACTTTGAGCCCAAGAAACCCGCAGGAACGCGCAGGAAACATACATGAGCTTTACTAGAGGGAAAAAATTAATAAGAGAGATAAAGGTGTCGATCCGAAATTTCGATAATGAGTTTTCAGTCAATACAACACTTTTGGCTGTTTAACAATGATGTCTGTCTTCGTGATTGTGTTTGTTTGACATTATTTTCATCCCCGATAACTTACATATCAAACTTCCAAAAATTCTCTGTATTTCTACTTTTTGCATTCATATAAAGACCACATTAACTTTTGGATAAAATTGGACAACTGAAAAAGATAACTTACAAGAAACCATAAGTCCTTAATATACAGCCGGATGTCGCACTTTACTTGAAGCCCACAACAGTTTCTAATGACAAACTATATTAAAATATAATCCAAAACTACTCAATTTTAGTATTCAAAACTTTTATACCAATCGGAATAACATATTAGATTTGACTACAATTGCTATACATGAAGTTTCTAAAACTTCTCAAATTTGGTATTTAAAATACATATGCAACTGAGAACAATATGTTGCATTTATACGTCCAAGAATCTACAACTGATTAATGACGTATATCGAGGTACCACTGTTATGTGTCTATGATCAAAGACTGGAAACTCACACAGATCGGATAAGTCTTTTTAAGCACAAGCTTTATATATACAGTATGATTAGCTACCATGCGTAGAAACTTCTGTGAGGAATAGGTTACTCAGAGAGTAATTGGAATTAGACAGTAATGTGGTGTATTCAAGATAAATTAATCAAAATGAATTAATCCATTAAAATCACACTCCAAATTTCGGCTACACATTTATTACGTATTTAATTAGAGGTATTAGTAATTCATTTTTTTAAGAGGCTTTATTGTGAGAAAGTTCGAAAATCAGATTTTCGTTTTTGAGTTGGATATCTGGTTTAACTCGATCTGAGAGATAATGTGTATTCGATAAAATTCTGAGTATTATTGCAATTTAAAAATACTAAGTATTGATTTAAATACTTGAAACTTATGTACATCAAACAGTCAAATTTTGCTTTTCTGATAAACCTAAATTTGTTAACTTAGGCTAATTGTGTTAAGATTTAAGTGCAATAAGTACATACTGAATATATTTGATTAATCCAGCAAATATATAAGAAAGTATATTTGCTGGATTAAAGATTACATTTTTTAACGTGGTGCACCCTGGGTTACGCTAAATCTGCTGCAGCTTTGCCACTTTCCCACAAAATATCTTTTTAATGGGTACCTTCACATTGCGGTATTTATGGGAATGAGATGGCTTATATGCTTGCGAAAAAGGGTTGCTACGGTTCTCCAAAAGCCAGAAACGAGCGCAAGCCTCCATTCTATTAAGCTTCTGTCATCGTTAACATATCAAAAGACTTTCAGAGATTTTACCACTCGGGCTTGTGAGGGCAAGCCTTGGAGTGTTCTCTCATCAAACCCAGCTTTTGTTCCTGAACACCTGCGAACAGTTGCGGTTGCATCTTTTAGAATATTGACGAGGCATGAATCATTTATTTCGCTTTGGACTAGCTGATTCGCCGCTGTGTGTTTTATGTAATAGTGGACGGCCAATTGCGGCGGAACATTTGGACGAGTGTGAAGCACTGACAAATTTTTCTTGTAGATTTCAGCGCTATTGGTAAGCAAGGAGTTTAATGGCCTAACGGCCAGTGTAACTGGCATTTGATAAATAAAATAAAATCAAAGTCAAATGATTTTCACTTCCTGTTTCTGAGGCGTTGTTTACTCGGAAAAATGGTTTACTTTTTTTTTTAAATTGGTTTTGACATCTGGCCGAAGAGGGAATTCAATTGAAGAAGTGAAAAAACAGATTTTTTTGCATTATTTTTACTTGGCATGACTGCAAAAATTTCTCCCTGATTTTGGTGCTTTTCACGAATATAGCTTCGACTCATTTTAAAACGAAGTGACATTAGCAAGAGCTCACATTTTCCCTTAACATCGTTGTAAGGTATTTTCTCGCTCCTTTCGCATGCCTTCGCGGTTTAACAGCAGCACACTCGGCGCGTGTTCGAGAGATCCAGGTTCGAGTTTAGGCGAGGGCATTGCTCATTTTTCACGTCTCCAGCAGCAAAATAGCCTAATAACTCTACAGTAGCTCCCAAATTAATAAAGGTGGTAAACGATGGTTCTTTACCACCAGAATTTGAAGACTGGCTCCCCTAATCCCCAGTCGCCGTTTAAAAGGAAAAGTATATGAAGAATTTTTCTTCCTCCTTGCTGCATGAATTCCTGGTGTAACGGTAGCACACTCAGCGCATATTCGAGTGGTCCAAGTCCCGGAGAGGGCATTGCTCATTTTTTATATCTCCAGCAAAATAACCTAATAAATCTGCAGTGGCGCCCCATTTAAAGGCGATGGTTGATGATTCTTTACCACCAGGATTTGGAGACTCGGTTCTCTAATCCTCAGTCGCACTTCAAAGGGGAAGTATATAAGGTATTTTCTCCCTCCTTTCTGCATGTGTAACGGTAGCACAATCGAATTCGGGAGGTCCGGGCTCCAGTCCCGGCTAGATGATTGTTCAATTTTCATGTCTCCTTCTTCAAAATAACCTAATGACTCTACGACGTGTGTTAAATACCTCTACTCCACTCACGATGGGATATATTACTTAATAACATATAGCTAC